CTTTGTGTTTATTCCATACAATTTAGGTTCCAACTCACTTTTAGCAATCCTTAATACAGAATGCAAGTTTTTATCAGTAGTTCATTTTTTCATTTACCTAATTAACAACAAAGTTTTTTGACATAAATATGCCAATCTAAATAAAAGTAAATACATTTTTACCTAATCCACATATTACTGTACAAAGTCTGAATGTCCATTATCCAGAAAGATCTAAAATCCAGACCTCGAAACCACCAAGAACATTTGTCTCGTAGGCTTTACACATGCACATTTGGTTGCCCCCCTCCGCACTTAATAAAACACCTGGAGGGTTCCGATTCATAATTTCACTTCGACACTAAATAAAATACCTTTTCATTGAAGAAACAATCATCTTAGCATAAATTTGCACGATCAGTAATTTGGCTCCATTGCTGCTTTTCTGCTTGGCACACATCTGAAACTGAAACATTTCACATAGATACATTGTTGATCTGACGGCAACCTGCCGAATCATTATTTACAGTACAAAGTCTGAAATCCAGACTCGTCGGGACTTTGGCGATTCCGTATTTGGGATTTTTCCGGATATTAGATCATCAGTTTAAATCTAGTAAGATGGCATGTAGAAATTATAAAATTAAAAATATGAAATCGTGATTTATGAAATAATGAAGTATTTATGATCTAAAGGGTATCAAAATTTACAAATAAAAGCTTAATATTTATTTGCTTACCTTATTAAATATTTCTTTCAATGTAAGTTGTTTAAGTTGCTTCGTTTTTTGCGCTAATACTTTCTCTTTAGTTCTGTGGACAGACATAATCTCTTGTTCAGTTACATTGTTGAAGTCCTGTAACTGCTGTTTTGAGAGAATTCCGACTAACTTGTCAATCGAAATTTTCTCATTTTCTGTCCCTTTTTTGACTATTGGTAGCGAAATTTTCTGGATCTAGAACTGATGATCTAATATCGAGAAAAATCCCAAATCCGGAATCGCCGAAGTCTCAGCGAGTCCAGATTTCGGACTTTGAACTGCATTTGAATTTATCCATATTAAGGGAACCATAAAAATCTACTAATTTGGTTTGACAAAACTTTTCCTGTAAACAAATGATCCAACAGCAAATCAATCAGTTATAACTGTATCTGAATTAGAGCATTCTGCTCATTAAAATTAAACAAACTCTTATTAATGACAAATGTTTCCAATTTTTTCAAATCTTCTGCTAAATTTAGCACATAACTCTTTTACTATTTTCCCATACTTAACAAAACCATCAACCATCATTTTATTTTTCCGATCATGGTTGGAAAATTTGTTTGAAAAGCTTTTCTCATTTAAAGTTTAAGTAAAGCTTTGTCATAAATGCTCTGATTGAGCAAGTATTAAAAGTATATTTCTTTTTTTCCTTGCACTGTAATATTCAGTTCACTCAAATAAGTCAATATATTAATAAAAAAGGAGAAACTGTTTAATTATTCCTCAGTTTGCTATTCAGGAAAGTTGTTACTTTTTTCCTTAGTTGACAAGAAAATTCTGATTTCATTAGACAAACTATTACATTTATTCAAAACCTTTCTAGCACTTAACCATCTCACATCTGTATGGTATGGCGTTTCGTAAAATTCACTTTCAATATCTTTTTAGAATTCAAGGTAGAATTTTTAGAACTCAATTCTGTTAATTTAATAAGGTTTATCCCCAGATAAAATTCACTACTTTTGTTATAACATTAATGACATGTCCCAGTTGTAAAACTATTTTTTTTTAAAGCACTTTTTGATGAATGAAGCAATACAGAAGATTTATTTTGTGACTGCATCTCTCTTCATCCATAGTGATACTTAGCACTTTGTCTCGTGTAAATACATTTTAATTAGATGCTCCTCAACAGCCATAAAAATGTCTTCTCCGGTTAGTGGTACCTTTTGTTAAATGTATGATAAACAGTTCCTCCTAATTTTAAACTTCTTGTTTCGAATAAATATTAATAATTAGCTTGCACCAGTTTGAATGCAGTACATATCTAAAGTGAGAAAATAATATTTAAAATTTGTAATTTTTGTTCTTCAGTAACCAGAAGTCACTTGATGTCAATATTAACCAGATAAATTGTGAGAAATATTTTCAATCAGCTGTATTACTATTCTAGAAAGGCTTACATTTTCAAATATTTCTTTCATTCTAGGGCAATATATTTCAGCATTTTTTGACAAATTTTGCTTCAACAAACAACTTACACAAGTTTACAATAACATAACTAGTTTTTGTAGCTGCTTTGTCAATATTATTTTGTTCTCTCAAAATGCTCAGTTTTTTTTTTTTTTTTTTTTTTTTTTTTTTTTTTTTCAGGATTTGTTAAAGTTTTTTGACAAAAGTGATTTATATATTGAATGCTTTGTTAAAAAACACTACTAAGTTAGATTTTTTTAAATACAACAGTTATGACAAAGTAAACAAACTGTTTTATTATTTATGACAATAAATGACTTATTATTTATATGTTTGAAAAGTAAGCAAACAGCTTTATTATTTATGTTTGCAAATACCTACTTTACTGCACATGCATCAATAAAATTAAGACATTCCAAACTGGTTTTTTCATTTTCTTTTGCTGACTCATTTTAACACCTATAATTAAATTCTTAAAACTTAGCCATAAAAATATTGGGTATTCTTAGAATATAGTGTACTTAGAATACAGTATACAAAACTTGAAGTCTATAGCAAGAAAGTAGATTTTGCACTGACTGTCTTCCACAACTTGCTACTTTTCTCACTACGATCAGCAGCAGCTACTATATCTCTGTATATCTATTATAAGCCTAACAACAACAGAATCACAGCTTCTGCTGAAATTTTTTAAGTTATGGATAGGCAGTAGACACTTGTGAATATCCGATTTCTTCATTGTGTACATACATGACAGTCATTAGCTAATTTTGAAGAGCTTAATCAGCTATAGTCCCCCTCCCCAGTATGTGATGAAGCTTAAATTGAGCAGAATGCCCCAGACAATTGCTTTCCATTCCTTAGGTCAGGGGTAATTTTTTCCCCCTTCAGAGACAGAGGAAATATTGTTGGGTAATGGGAATTGCACTTCTGCCAAGTACACTTTAAATGGGATCAGTTAATATTAGTCATAAAATGACTGACATGTACATTGCTCCATATTAAAATAAAAATTTAGGGATAAAATGTTCTTTTCCTCAGCTCCCTTTTCTGATCAGTCTTTTTATCTAAATAATATCCACATGTCATTATTTACTTTCTAAATTAAAGCTGTAAAAATGATAGAACTATATTCTTAAAGGATGCACATGCTTTCTAGTATATTGAGTGGTTTTAGCTTAGGCTGACTGCTAGTACAGTCATGTGTATGTATACACACTGTAACAACAGATGCATACTCATGCTGTTGGTTTTGGAAGTTTGGTAACAAAATTGAGTAGAAAAGAGACAAAAATATTGTTGTATAGGATTTCATAATACAGTCAAAAGTCGTTAATTCGGACACCCATAATCCGGAATGATCTATAATCCGGACCTCAAAGCTAAAATCTTTCTGCGCATGCGCCGCATTGAAGCATGCGCATAGGCGTTTTACTCGTGCGCGCAAGACATTTACCACTGCGCATATGCGTCTGCGCAAGTGCAGAATACGTTTTCGCGTGCGCGAACGGACGGTATAAGCTAAAATTATCTAATTATCTATTTCAATTAATGTTGATGATTGCCTTGTTCTTTAATCTTCGAATTGGATCCGGCTTATTATTTTTTGCAGACTGTAAGAGCAATTTTCTAAAAGTAAGCTTGAACTTTCGATTATGTCAAATAGAATTTCTGATGCTGGAGCTCCCAAAGGATCTAGAAAACGAAAGTATGTTTCGATGTCCATCAAACAAAAAACGAATTGCTACAAAAAATGGATAAAGGCATATTCTTTGTTTATCTAACCGTTCCGAAATCTGTTTATCAATTTCACGCTGCTCTGCGCGGGGGGGGGGCGTCGCGGCGCGCAATGAACTGGAAGTTGATTTGTCAACACTATCGTTATCTTCAGGGCAGATGTTTTATTTATTTATTCGGCTTATAATTCCTTACTAAATGTAGTATTTAATTTCAGTGTACTCCGTCTTTGATATGATTTAAAATCAAATTCATCGTCATTATAAATATCACGAATACAAATCAAATAGTTTTCTGGTTGCAATTTTCTAATTTCGGCTATGCGTAAGGTATGCTTTACGCATCCGCGCGTTGAAAGAAATGTTTAATAAAGTAAACAAATAAATATTAGGCTTCTTTTTTGGTAAATTTTGATACCCTTTAGATCATAATTGCTCATTATTTTTATAAATTACGGTTTCATATTTTTAATTTTATAATTTCTGCATGCCATCTTACCAGATTTAAACTGATGATCTATAATCCGGAAAAATCGATAATCCGGAATCGCCGAAGTCCCGACGAGTCCGGATTAAAGACTTTTGACTGTAGGACAAATGAAGCAATTTAAAGGGCTCATGGACAGCTTTTGCCTAGCCCTACTTTTCATGGGCATGTGTAATAGCCAGATCTTGTCACTTGATCATGTCTCTTGTAACTTCTTTTATTCAGGGACATTTGAAAGTTGAAATCTATAAACATCAACCAAGAATTATAAATAAATTGAAAGCTATTGTATACCAACAGACTGCAACATAAATACAAGCTATCACTCAGAGATGATGTGAAACATCAGAAATTGCAAACAAATTTTGAAATAAAAAGCCACTATCGAAGTGTTCATAACTGAATGAAAAATATACTAATCCATATACTTTTAGCTTATGAAATGAAATATTCTGTACAGAATCTACTATGCATTATTAACTTTTGAAATCTGACAGGTTTCCTTTGCTACACCTTTGGGTGTTTGTGAAAAAATTTTGTCTCATTTTTTAAGTTTTTCAAAACAATTTCAAATTTTAAAACAAGAACTGAATGAATGAATCAAAAGATTTTACTTACATTTCTGTTCAAGGCTTTGGCAATAGATTTTGCTATACTAGTTTTACCTACACCAGGTGGACCATGGAAACATAGGATCTTTCCTTGAACACTCCCTCTAAGTTTACTAACAGCAATAAATTCCTAAAATTCACACACACATGCAAGAGAAAAAAAAAAAAAAAAAAAAAAAAAATAAATAAATAAATAAATAAAAATAAAATAAAATAATAAATATAAATATTTAACATAAAATATCCAGCTAGAGCAGAAGTCTTGGTTTTAAGACATTTGCTTCATTTAAGATTAGTAGCCTCATACTGCAATAACTCACAACAAAGATAGTGTAGTTAAAATCACGACTTAGCAGGTGTCTAACTATGAAACCATAATTTGCACATAGATGGCAGTAGTTGTCCATGTAGCGACATTCAAATCGTACTACTGGTGCCATTTTATTTTTTTAACAGCTGACAACAATGCAATTTCATGTAACAGAATAGTTTCTTAATAGCAGTGAACATGGCACATTTAGTGCTTATAAACTACAATTTGCAGACAGCATTAATTTTCTGTTACCATTTAAAGAAAACTGCTGCAGAATCACATCAAATGCTTTGAGTGGTTTAAGAAATTCAAAAGTGGCGATTTTGAGGTGAGAAAAGAAAAATTTGGAAGAGTGCCAAAAAAGTTTGCAGATAGTGAATTGCAAGCATTGTTGGATGAGGATGACACTGAAACACAAAAGGAACTAGTAGATCAATTAAATGTAACATAAGAAGCTGTCTCCATATGCTACTGATTTTGCTTCATAATAATACACCATCACACAGAGCAAAACCTGTCAAGGAAATGATTGAGGTGTTCAGTTAGGAAATATCTGCACATGCGGCTTACTGATCAGACTTATCTCCATCCAATTACTATTTATTTGCATCAATAGGACACAGACTTGCTCAGCAGTGCGTAACATCTATGAAAATGTACAAAAATGGCTTGATGACTAGTTTGCTTTTCAAAACAGCAAAAGTTTTTTGGTGTGGCATTCATAAATTGCCAGAGGGATGGGGAAAATGTATAGCTAGTGATGGAAAATATTTCAAATAAAATATTTTTTGTCATTTTCACATAATTAACATGTATTTGCTATATAAAAATTCTGGCTTCATATTTACACACCTGGTATAAGGGCTATAAAGACCTCATTTGACCTCATCAAGAAATGAAATCAACATCATGTATACCATGCTAAAATAAAATAGTTTCAATTTTACATATTTGGAATGTAGCATGAACATAATAAGAGAAGAAACAAGGATGTTGAGTACTACTTATCAAAAGTCAATAATATCAATAATAACATAGCATATTTCAAACTGAAACATTAAAAATATAGACACTTGAGAGATGAGCAAAATACATGAGTTAAACTGAAAGAAAAATGCTTATAAAATTATTACAGCCTCACCTTGTTTTAAAAATGCACATAAGAGTTAGATTGCAGAGTTAATTAGAATTGAGATCTTGGACAAAAATGCAGTGAACAAAACAGTAAAAACTTTTAAATATTAGGGAGGGAGAATTGTAGCTGTGGATAAGCTTGAGATTAAAGGCAATTTAGCAATGGAAAAAAGTACTCAGGATTAAGAGTATGCACATATTAACAGAAATCCAAGAACAAAATTCGGATGAAAACAAGATATAAATTATCAGAAGAAATTACTATTGACGGAAAGAATTTATAATTGCTAAATTAAGGGGAAAAACCCCTTGCAAAATGCGATTGTTAAAATAAATTTACATGAGGATATAGGTTCTACTGTAGAAAAGGACGTACCTTGATTTGGCACCAAATACTGATGTTGGTACAAGTTTTCTGGTAATCCAGAATTGACTCTTTTTTGCCAATGATATGGCAGCCCCCTTTTTTTTTGTTACATGCCAATGTTTTTCCTGAAGTTTAATCTGACTGGAACTTTTTGTTTAGTAATCGAGGACTCGTGTACTACAAATCACATATTTTAAATTTTGACTGCATTTTGAATTATTGTAATTTTAATTGCTGTTAATTGACCTTTGGTTTTCCTTAGCTATCTTGGTTCTAATTAATCACTGTCCCATACCTTTCACAAAGAAGTATGTTTGGTAACATTAATACTATTCTTTTTTCATGATTTAGAGCAAAAGGCTAACGAAGCTGTAACTTATTGGTGTACAAATGAAGGTTTAATTAATTCTCGCTATAAATATCAAGTCTGTATCAAAGATATGCATTTGGCTGAGTTAATGTATCAATTGGATGGCCATGAGTGGGTTTGTCACAAGAAAGGTGCCTGAAAACAGCACTCCAACACCATTTAGGGCATGTAGAGTCACATTAAGTGCAAGTTTGACAAGCAGGGGCTTAGGCAATCATTGGATGACGTTTTACATTTCTACTTTATGGAGTTTATGTGATGTCGCCAATACCAGGATCAAGAGGATCATTTCTGAGATTACATGATTTACATTATATATATGCACTAGTTATCCGATGCTGACAATGAGATTGTAGCCAAGAATAAACCAGGCAAGTACTTTTGCTGTTTTTGTAACAAATGTTTTCAGCACTGTTTTGGATGATAGCCATCTTGGAAACATTGCTTTTTGGCATCATAAAAATCAACAAAAATATCAAGGTGTATCCAACTGCCAACTTTTATCAAGATATAAACTGGAATTATAAATACAGAACTTTTATCAAGATATAAACTGGAATTATAAATACAGTTACTTATTGTAATCATTTTATATAAAAAAATGAATAAACTTAATGACTTAAAATGAATTAATACCATTAGTTTAGTCACGAAATTTTATTACGCTGCAACTTAAGACCTCAGTAGACTTTTTATCTTTAAATAAATGAAAGGAACACCTCATGTTATCAACTGATAATATTCAATCATTAGTGTTAGGTAAATTAAAACTAAACTCAGATAAAAGATTTCAACTTTAAAACATCTGGAAATTGTTTCTGTACTTTTTAAAAATAACTTTTTTCCTTCTGTTTTGTTTCTCTCTCTCTCTATTTTTTAAAAAATTACACAGAGGTATGAACCAAACATTTTAAGAGTTAATTTAGAAGTCAAACAACGAAAATCAGCATTCTATTTGCAATTTTTCCATTACTTGTTTCGATGGTTTTAACAAACCATCTTCCTCAGCTGCCAAAGTGCAAATAAAGGAGTTAAGATAAAAGTGGCTGGACAGGAGTTAAGCTACTGGCGCCATCTATTGATGAAACAAAAAAACTAAAACATAATTTCCTCAAAGGCTGAAAGTAAAGATGGATTGGAATTAGGGTCGTTAACTAGAACAGAAAGATTTTATTTAAATATGAAATGCCTCTAGAAAATCTAACTCACAAATTAAAGATGCCTTTTGAATAATTATGGCTGTAGAAAAATGGAAAGTGTGATTTTCGGACCAACAGTGCTGGGCAACAGGGGACTTCCGTGTTTTTTTTTCATAACATATGCCTCATGTACTTTAACATGAATAAGTAAACTGTCTTAGTTTCACCAATGTAGATTAAAACCACACTGGCAAGGAATGCTGTAAATACCCCAGGAGTTCAAATCCGGAATGGGGTTTTTGGGACTTTTATTAATAGGAGAATAAACAACCCAAAAATTAAATATCTGTAAAATATGTGCAGTTTTATTGCTAATTGATGGAAAGAAAGAATGACAACAGAATTCTTGTAATCTCCTAAATCAAGAGTGTGCCTTTTGGTGTGTTGAGATGAGAATTTTTTTAACTGCTTGGTTAATACTGTTGGGTGGAAAGCCCCTGTCAATAGCAATTGCTATTAAATAATTTAGTTCTTGATCAAGAGCCAATTTGGAGGAGCAAACTTGAAGTACATGGAAAAAAAAGGAATAAAATTAAGCTAACTTTTACTTAGTCAGATGACATAATTTTGAAGTGTGGTGGAAGGCAAACCAATGAAGGTTTACGGTAAACAGTAGCACTGAAGTTGGATGTGTTATGTGTGAACAAAAGTCGAGGAATGGAAAGGAATTATATGTCTCAAGCTCAAAAGTGAACTGAGTAGCAAGATCAATGGAATTCATTATTGAAAGAACTTTATGTAAATCATTTTAATTATAGCATAACAGGATACAAGTATCGTCCACATAGTGGAATCATACCAGGAAGTTTACAGTTTCAAATAATTTTGATTCATAATAATGCAGTAGATATCAGCCAGGATGGGGCTAAGAGGGCTTCTCATGGCTAATCCCTCAGTTTGATTGTAATAATTATTTTGGAAAACAAAATGTGTTTTAACTTTTCTAACAAACTCTCATGAATTTTTTATGGTTTAAATATATTTATTTATGATGTAAATGTATCAATCCATCTATTTTTGTTGTTTGACTTCTAATTAATCTTTGTACAAAGTGTTATTTTAACCTAAAATAGTAAGAGTTATTTCAGATGATCAGATTTTTAACATATATTGTTACATATAGAATAAAACTACTTATCAGTGATTAAATTACACAAAATGTAGTTTTTAAAAAGACTATGTAGTAGTTAGAGAAAATTTATCTATCTGTTTTACACATAAAAAATGTAAAAAAAAAAACTAGAGAAAAATTTTTTAATAAGTAATTTATCAAGAGAACCTGTAATGATATACAGACCTTGACAGAAGAATTTCAACTTAATTTAATTATTCCTGAAATGTTCAAAAATGTGATTTTTGGACTTGTGATCACACAAGAATTTGCTCCAACTTCTCAAAGGTACAGACAGTAGTAAAATATTTTTCATAGATTCTTTATGTACATGCTATACATAAATTTAAATTTGGAAAAACAGTTTTTTTTTTTTTTTTTTTTAAACCAGGACAAAGTGAATGTTAGTATTCTTTGATGATTAAACATATATTAATTATAAATCTGCTGAGTTTAAATTGGATTTCATGCTTTAAAGAATAAGTCACAGTTTTAAAAAAGCAGATAATCTTTCTAGTAACAGGGAAAAAATCTACAAAACAGAAGACACAGGCCGCTTTTTAAAGCTCAAAAACTTGTGGAACTTATCATAAATTAATTTCTTGGTAATAAATATGACTGAAAAGTACTTTTTTCCAAAACATTCACAGAATTTAATGATTCAAATAACATCAATATGATGATATATGGTACATATAGAATTAAAAAATAATTCATAGGTTTTTTTTTTAACTTCTTCCTCCCAAAACAGACATACCAATATCCGCTTCTTTACATCTTCCATGCCATAATGATCATGTTCTAATACTTCTGATGCTCTCTCAAGATCCATATTTTCTTCACTACTTTTTCCCCAGGGAATGCTTGTTAACCAGTCCAAGTAATTTCTTGTCACACTAAAAATAAACCAAATCTCTCTTGATAGTTTAAAAAAAATACAATTTTTTTAAAGTTTTACAATTTTTTAATTAAATAATAAAAAGCAAAAACTCCTCCAAGAATTAAGCTTTACTATAGTATAACTTTATTTAACCATTCAACCTCATTATTGCAAAACTTTGCTTAAAAGCATTTGGATATTCATCTGATTATTATTACTTGAACATGTTAAAATGGTTGACAATCATTATGCATGGAACTTCTCTCTTAGGCATGAAAGATATAAAGCAAAAGAAATTTGTAATTTGATTTTTTATAATCCAGCAATAGATGAAATAACTTCATATCTCTGCACAGTAAAATACATGATCAAAAAATTGAAACCAAAGGTTTTGAATAATATTTTTTTGTAAGTATATCATATTTAAAATAAAACAAATTTATGGAATGTGGTTGGCAACTATTACATATTAGTTAGTGATCAATAAACTAAAACGTTACATTTATAGATGTTACGAAGTGAAAGTTGGCAACACTTACTCAGGAAATTATTTTTTTTTTTTTAAGGAAAACAATAATAAAGGCTTTCAATTAATTTAAAATTAACACTGCAATAAGAAGGAACTATTTTATGAATTTGACAGTTGAAGTACAAAATGTCTACATGTTCTTTTCTACAGTCCTTCAGTTTAAGCCCTAAGCATGAAATAATACATGTTGCTCAAAATTTTCAATTTCAGCAAAAAGTATTCTTAGTTGTGTTGCCGAGACTCATTTCAAAGCATTCAAATCAAAATGTACTAATGCTTCCCAAACTTTCCTGAATTGGGCTGCTTTTTTTTCAATTAAAATTCTTCCATGGCATAAGTATGAATAATCATCTCTACATATAATAAAAGAAAGAGTGTGTGTGTGCCTTTTGTTCGTGTTGCGTGTAAGTTAATAGACCCATGCCTACGAAATTTGGTACGTAGGTGCATCTAGACAAGAGCCAGTGTACCTCAAAGCGATTTTTTTCTAAATTCGAATCAGATTTTTTAAAATTTTATCTTTTTTGATGAAATTGCATCATTTTGAATAGTTTCATTCTTTTAGAAATGTGGTTTTGGCAACAGTTTTTCATTCAATGCTTTGTATACTGGACTGCTAACTGTTGAAAATATGAGATAAAAGATTGCTTATTTTCTTTTGATTTTCGGACATGCAACACGCACATTGCAATCTTCTTATTCCAATGCGCATCTGTCTTGCAAGGCACAAAAGAAAGAATTTCCTTTTTTTCTTTCTCTATTTTTTAGGTAATAACAAAGAGATTTATATATTTTGAATTATGCCATCCACAAAGCACAATTTTGATTGGTTATTGCTTTCTGATGATAGTTTCATTCTTTTAGAAATGTGGTTTTGGCAACAGTTTTTCATTTATTGCTTTGGATACTGGACTGCTGACTGTTTTCTCTTGAAAATATGGGATTTATTGCTTATTTCATTGTAATGTTTTTATATTACATTTTAATTATATAAAAAGTTTTGCATGATTTCTTTTAGGAAACAAAGTTCTTAACTTCCTTTTTATCATTTGAATTCTTATGATTTTGCAATGGGAAGTTGGTTAATTTATTTATTAGGATAATTCATATTTGTGTTAAGGGATATTGCTTACTTCATTCTAATTTTTTTTATATATAACACATTTTTATTGAAATTTCTGTTCCCCCCCCCCATTTTTAATTCCTTGTACGAAGTAAAAAGGAAGTATTGTAATCGCGAAAAGTTTCAGCCAGCATATTTCAACAAAAATATTCATTTTGACCACTATCGAATGCAATTTAACGATGTTTTTGCATGATATCTGTACGTAAGGACAGAATAAAAGACTCGTTTCCTCCAAAAAACTTATAAAACTGCTTTAAAATTAATTATGAAGAGAATTTTTCGTGGCATCTATACGAACGTATGTATGTACGTACGTACGTATCTCGCATGACTCGAAAACGAGTAGCCTCAGAACGTTGAAATTTTGTATATAGGACTGCTATAACATGTAGATGTGCACCTCGTATTTTGGTTGCAATCAGCCACACCAAACGTATATAAATACTATACAGTCAAAAGTCGTTAATTCGGACACCCATAATCCAGAATGATCTATAATCCGGACCTCAAAGCTAAAATCTTTCTGCGCATGCGCCGCACTGAAGCATGCGCATAGGCGTTTTACTCATGCGCGCAAGACATTTACCACTGCGCATATGCGTCTGCGCAAGTGCAGAATACGTTTTCGCATGCGCGTTTAATATATAAGCTAAAATTATCTAATTATCTATTTCAATTAATGTTGATGATTGCGTTGTTCTTTAATCTTCGAATTGGATCCGGCTTATTATTTTTTGCAGACTGTAAGAGCAATTTTCTAAAAGTAAGCTTGAACTTTCGATTATGTCAAATAAAATTTCCGATGCTGAAGCTCCCAAAGGATCTAGAAAACGAAAGTATGTTTCGATGTCCATCAAACAAAAAACGAATTGCTACAAAAAATGGATAAAGGCATATTTCTTTGTTTATCTAACCGTTCCGAAATCTGTTTATCAATTTCACGCTGCTCTGCGCGGGGGGGGGGGACGTCGCGGCGCGCAATGAACTGGAAGTTGATTTGTCAACACTATCGTTATCTTCAGGGTAGATGTTTTTATTTTATTTTATTCGGCTTATAATTCTTACTAAATGTAGTATTTAATTTCGGTGTACTCCGTCTTTGATATGATTTAAATCAAATTCGTCGTCATTATAAATATCACGAATACAAATCAAATAGTTTTCTGGTTGCAATTTTCTAATTTCGGCTATGCGTAAGGTATGCTTTACGCATCCGCGCGTTGAAAGAAATGTTTAATAAAGTAAACAAATAAATATTAGGCTTCTTTTTTGGTAAATTTTGATACCCTTTAGATCATAATTGCTCATTATTTTATAAGTTACGGTTTGATATTTTTAATTTTATAATTTCTGCATGCCATCTTACCAGATTTAAACTGATGATCTATAATCCGGAAAAATCGATAATCCGGAATCGCCGAAGTCCCGACGAGTCCGGATTAAAGACTTTTGACTGTATTTATATATATATATCCACTCTGTTACTCGGCACAGTGATCTCAGTTTCTTTACTCTTATATGTTTGTAAATTGAACATTTTTTGCTTTAAAAATGATTGAATTACGAGGGCAATCCCAAAAAAAAGGTGTCCTATATTTTTAGATATACAAAGAACCGTTTATTTTCTATAATTGCTACATCACTTTAAAGATTGAAGAATGCTTTATTTTTCAACATAATCGCCATTTCGCTCGATGCATTTTTGTAGACGCTGTGGCAGTTTTACAATGCCCATGTCATACCAGCTTGCCACCATGCCCTCAGGAAGCATCAATCGAGTCCAAGAAGTTGTCCTTTTCGTCTCCATAGCGGCGAAGAAATTCGCGGAATGAATCAACCCATTGCCGTTTGTGGTCTTCTGTCAGCATATGCGTCACCCATCTTGCACACACCTTCCAATATTGCAACTTTTCCGTTAAAATCCTGTGGATGGTACTTCTGGAAACCTCAGGAACCAAAATGCAGAGAACTTTCGTTATTGTCTCGTCGGCAACTGACGGCCTCCCGCTCCTTTCTTTGTCATGAATTTCAGTACGACCTGCTGTAAACTCTCTACACCACTTGCGAACGTTTTTGACATCCATGCATGACTGTCCATACACTTCCGTCAATAGGCGGTGAAATTCAACCAGTTTAATGTCTTTTGCGTTCAAAAATCGAATAACTGCGCGCACTTCGCATTTGGCGGCAACGTTTATCGGGAGTTCCATTTCGAATGGCTGCCAAGCCAAGATTGAGCATCCTAGCGAAGCGCCTGCGTGCTTATGTGGTAGCGGAGAAGGCACCACTCACAACAGTGTTGCCAACAACCATATTAAAACTTTCTGTACATCCCCAAAAAACAGGAGACCTTTTTTTTTGGGGGGATTGCCCTTGTATATTGTTCTTATCTTCAGGTTAAGGTTTTTATGCCTTTCGTAATTCTGGAAGCAATAATTGTACAATTATCAACAATTTAAAAGCTGTTTAAGTGCAGCTAAGTTTTACATAACATGGCAGACATATTTGTTTACATTTGAAACAGCAGAATTGTAGATTTGTTGCCAATCTAGAGAAACTAAGCTTCGCAAAAACAAAAATAACGCCTTCATTTATTATTGCGAATTAAATCAGGCTTAATCCTTTCTGGAATTTTTTCGAGGAAATAAGTGTTTAATATTTACTTCGTAATTTTTAATATAGATATTTTGAGTTTTTATGTATTTTTTTGCCTTTCTCGCGAAGTGAGAACTGAATTAATTGAATGAGAAATACTCAATCGTCTGTGAAAAACTGTTTCTTTTTTGTTTTGTTTGCTTAATTTCTTTTATACATCATTCTAGCTTTATTATAGTATTTGAATATAACATGTGGCAATGATAAGATTATTCTTCAAATGATATAAATTTTGTGCATTCAGAGTGTCGTTATAGTAAACAAATATAGTTAATTTTAAAGAGTGCATTTATTCTATTGTGGTTTACGCGCTGTCGACGAAGTAGATTTAATTCAATCCAATCAATTTAAACGAAATTCAAGAAAAATTGCATATAATTTTAATATTCCGCACAAGAGAGCCATTGTTGCTGTTATCAGCATCAGATTGCCGCTCGGATAAAATGTTCTGCAGAGTAAAATTATGTGCAGTTTTCAAATTTAATGTTTGGTGTTGGATAGTAGGGCATTGTTTTTCGGTTCATTTAAAAGCCAGACGAAAGCTGGCCGCGTAGTGGCTAGTAGGAGATAAAACTTGCATATCTTCATTATTGAACTTTTTTTTTTTTTTTGGTGGAGGTTTACTTTGTTAACATTAAAATAATGAGATGGATGAGAAATCACCACCCATTTTCTCAAATTGTGGAATTAAACTCAACAATCCATC